GTGGAATAAAGGCATAATACTTTACTTCAAAAAAATTAATCAAACAAAGTTAGTTTTATTTATTTTTATTTTTTACTACGTGTTTTCGGCACACCAGTGGTCGCTCCAAGTGGAGGAGAGCGCGAGATCTACACTTGTCCAGCTTAGGTCAGATATGTCTTGCTATCCTGTAAGTAGGCTCTGCAGACCTATCTTATATTTGCCCGTACGACAAAGTTATTCTCCAGCCAGAGCTTGCAAGAAGATAGCGGAATGCCCGAATTACGAGCTTTACTGATTGCAGATAGCAAGCTTCTTTCACTTGCTAGTTCATCTGCAGCACAGTTTCCCGGTATGCCTTTGTGGCCTGACACCCATACAACGTTAGTAACGTAACATCTTGCCAGTTCATTACGACTACATTCCATAACAATCTTCGATGTAGATTTGTCACAATTAAGTGCTTTAATAGCCGCTTGGCTGTGAGAAAAGATTGTTACCGCCTTCATACTAATTAGAGAATCGATCAGCCAACTTGTAGCTTCGTTTATTGCTGTTATTTCAGCCTGAAAACGCTACATACATCTGGCAGACGAAAATTAAGGTCAAGTGAGAGTTCTTGCGAGTATACTTCCTACCTTCATATCCAACTGGGAGCCATCAGTGTAAATGGCTGTTCAGTCAGAATACGACATCAGGACCGAATACTCCCCCCATTCTTCCCTTTAGGGGATCCTTGTCTGGAAGTGATTCTTTAGTCCCGTAGGCGGGACCGTACAGTCCAGGCGCCTCGCGTTACTCCATTTGACTAGTGCATTTAATCTAATAGCATTACAGCTTGCCTGTAGTTTACCATATAGGTCCACAGGTACAAAGTGAAGCAAGGTCTCTATGGCTTTAATCGGCGTGGATGGTAGCACTCCCATGATCATCATGCACGCCACCCTTTAGACCGTTGTTAATTTATGCCGTAGAACAAAATGGGACGCACAACCGTGTATATCCAGTTCACAATGTGAGGCTTAGATCCCGTTTAGGCTCCTTCGGGACCGATCCAGCGACTGCCGAAGACGTCGTTTGCAGACAGACTTTAACGCCGTGTCCGTCGGCGGCATTTTTACCCGTGCAGACAACCGGGGCTATCTTGTTTACGTTCGTTTTTCAACTGGCTCTTTGTTCGCCTCCCGAGCCGAGGCCGTCCGGCGGCCGAATAAATGGGTAAGGAGAAAGAATGATCGGCCTCAGCAGAGCTCCGTGCTGAGGTATATACACCGTTACTCCCGGAGGTGGACAGGTTTACGGGACGCGCCGTTAGAATACAGTCGGAAAGCCCCCTGATTCCAAACCATCCAATAGGCACGGTGACGCATGACACCCTGAATTAGGGGGCCGTTTTATATCTACCGCCCGGTACCCCCAGAAATGGCCTAAGTATGTCCACCCCAGCCTCCCTAGGGCGAGCCCGTCCGGCCTACCACTAGACCTAGACGAGGCAGGGGAATTTATACCTCGGCCTTAGCTAGGCCCGCCTGCTTGCACCACTGCCGCATAGGAGCAAGCCTACCTTGCCACAGCGGTGTAAAGAGCCATGCCCATTGCGCAGTCGGCACCCGCTTGGAGGATATATCTAGAAGGATTTTCGCCAACCAGTTCAAGGGCTATGACTGTTGGGTCTTCTCGGAATTAGATAGAAATCAAGGCGCGTGGGCCTGTTGGTGAATGAGGAACAAAAGAAGTATCTTCTGTCATGAGACATACAGTCATAGGAAAAGCATCTCGGCAGTCACTGTTGACTGTTTAAAAAAGTAGACGACTATAGGAATCAGCATGCGGCAAAACAACAACGCATGTGCGTCTTGTTAGTCAAAAGAATCCCTGTGACGCAGAAAAGATTTTCTATTTGGCGGGGTCTTTAATTGTTATTTATTTTATGATCGATTAATCGAATTTGTCTCAAATTATAGCGATTGCCATTCTGTCATGTTCCGATTGCTTCCCAAACCGTTTCAAATGCCAAATTCCTAAAATAACATTTGCATTGACGCATAATTTGTTAAATTGCTGAATAATTGCGAGAATACTTGTGTTGTACTGATATTACATTTAAATATAATAATTTAGGGTAAAATACGCAGTAAATATTTTACATTAAACGCAATATATTTGTTGTGTAATTGATTAAAACGTTACCAGCTATTTACAAAGTGATGGAACAGTTGCAGAAACAATTGGCGAAAATTCGTGTACCATGCGATAATGTACCCATTTATAAAGATGAGTGCGTCTACTCCTATGATACACCAGAAACTCCTACAGGACTTTACGTGAGTTTAAGCAGCTTTCTGGGCTTTGGCGAAGCATATGTGAAACGATATGCTGAAAAGACTGGAAATACAGTATTCTTGCATATACATCGCATTAAGACACCCAAAGAAAATGTTGGTGGTGCTTGCGCTGATGAAGGAGGACCTGAACGCAAAATAACCCGGTTAGCTATAGGCGTTGAGGGAGGTTACAATGATGCAAACGAAAAGAAATACGACATTAAAGATTCGTATAGTATTGTTGTAATGCCGGATATTGATAAGAAATTGGTATTCCCTGATGAACAATTGCCGCTGCTGGTAACACAATCAGTTGAAGCAGTTCTAGCACAAGAATCAGCTATAGCAAAATTAGAAAAACAAACGCTAGCTGGTAAGTTTTCAAGTGTAATATTTTGAATTTTGCTTTTTAATCAGTGTTTCATGTCTGTAGGTACTTGGGATGGTGAAGTACGTCAAGTGTCCAAGTATTCAGATAATTTAATCCAGCTAGATAATGGCAAGAAAATACCACCGTCCGGCTGGAAATGCGAAAAATGTGAACTAACAAATAATTTATGGCTCAACTTAACCGATGGCTCTATTCTTTGTGGGCGTAAATTTTTCGATGGTTCGGGTGGAAATGATCATGCTGTAGAATATTATCGGGAAATGGGTTATCCATTAGCTGTCAAACTGGGTACTATAACTGCTGATGGAAAATCTGACGTTTTCTCATATCCAGAGGATGACATGGTTATTGACACACATCTGGAGAAGCATCTTGCTCATTTTGGTATTAATATGGCAGCGATGAAAAAGAGTGAAAAGACTATGGTTGAATTGGAACTAGAAATTAATCAACGCATTGGTGAATGGTCACTGTTGACCGAAAGCGATAGCGAGTTACAGCCATTGGCTGGTCCAGGCTATACGGGTATGAGAAACCTCGGCAACTCGTGTTACATTAACAGTGTAATGCAGGTAAGTGCGATGCCAAACCGTTACCAAATCACTTACATTTAAAAACTGTTTTCAGGTAATATTTACACTGCCCGACTTCATCAAGCGATACGTAGGAGACGGTGCCGAAAAATACTTTAACGCATTTCCTTCAGATCCGGCAAATGATTTTAACATACAAATGGCTAAGTTGGGTAATGGCATATGGTCAGGCAAATACAGCAGCATTTCGGAGAATTCACTTGATTCTGAGTCTACAGGCATTTCGCCAGCTATGTTCAAAAATGTCATTGGCAAAAATCATCCCGACTTTAGTACGAAACAGCAACAAGATGCTTATGATTTTTATCTACATCTTATCAACATTATCGAGCGAAATTCGCGCAATGAACCGAATCCTGTGGAAAGTCTCACGATCAATTTGGAAGACCGTGTGGAGTGCATGAGCAGCAAAAAGGTAAAGTACACACATCGTGATGACTTTTGTTTGCCATTGGAAATACCCTTAGATAAAGCTACAAACTTAGACGAGGTCAAAGAGTATTTGGAGCGTAAAGCCGCTCAAGGCAAAAACAATAGCAGCGACAAAAATGTAGTGCGCCACAAAGTGCCTCTACAAGCTTGCTTAGAACGCTTTTTCGCACCTGAAGTACTTGACCAATTCTACTCGTCGGCTGCAAACTGCATAACCACTGCCAGAAAGAATACCCGGCTTGGGAATATGCCAGATTTCTTAATGTTGCATTTGCGCAAGTTCACACTCGGCGCCGATTGGGTCCCAAAAAAGTTAGATGTTTCGGTTGATATGCCAGATGAATTAGATCTCAGCAACTGGCGCGCCTCTGGTATGCAACCAAATGAGCAGCCATTACCAGAAACGGAAGAAAAGCCCAAGTTTTCGTTTGATGAAAATCTAATGGGCGAACTTATGCAAATGGGATTTCCACGCGAAGCTTGCAAGCGTGCGGTATTTCATACTAAAAATATTAGTTTAGAAGCAGCTTCCAATTGGCTCATGGAGCATATTGGCGATGCAGACATCTCAGAACCGTTTGTTTTGCCTGCAGATGGAATGGGCGGTAGAAAAGCAGCAGAATTCACAGCGAATCCTGAAAGTGTAGCTATGTTAATGAGTATGGGCTTTGAAGAGCGTCAAGCGACTAAGGCATTGAAAGCAACCGATGGCAATATTGAACGTGCAACAGATTGGATTTTCTCACATGCCGACGATATGGACACAGATGAAAACACCCCAAGTAATGTCAGTACAGATACAGGTACTACGCAGAAAAAAACATACCGTGATGGTGTAGGAAAATATAAGCTTGTAGCTTTCGTTTCTCACATGGGAACATCAGCCCAAGTTGGTCATTATGTGTGTCACATACAAAAAGATGGACGATGGGTGATCTTCAACGATAGCAAAGTAGCACTTTCGCAAAATCCACCAAAAGATCTCGGCTATTTATATTTATATAAGCGATATGAGTAATATGACAAATTAGAGTTGGTTAGTAAAAAATGCGCATTTTAAAAGAACTTGCCTTTATTTAAATATTGAATTCTTAAATTATGACACTTAGTATTAAATGCAAAGAACTGAACAATTTTAATACATCAAGAAATATAGCTTATCATCGCAGTTGAATTAATAAATGTACGCAGTGACGAAAAAAAAACATAAATCGAGTAAATTTAGCAAATCTTAATTGTTTTTTTTTTGTTCTATATTTCAATGTGCACTAGTCATAAAGCCTAAGCGGTTACGGCGTGTCTATTTAACGACCTATTAATACGGCCATGTTAATTTTTCGCCTCGTATTTATGCATCTTTTTTCTTACTACTCTCCTTTGTCCAGACCGGTTTGATGACGGTTTCCACAATATTATTGAGTTTGTCGGTAAATGCTTCAAATGAGAATTTCTGTTGCACTCTCTTGTGCCCCATCACGCCCATTCGTTCACGCAAGGCATCATCCTTATATAACTGCAGCATTGCATCTGCAAACTTTGATGGTTGTTGCTCGCATAAAAATCCTGTAGAATTATTCACAATCGTTTCCGTTGGTCCGCCACTATTTAATGCAATTATTGGTTTCGACATATACATGCCTTCCAGTGGCACAATACCGAAGTGCTCGTTATCGGGAGTGTAAAGCAGACAGTGTGCTTTATGAAGCAACATAAATTTCTCATCGTCGTTAGGAGAGCGCAGCAATATCACATTTTCTTGGAGTTCCAACTTGCTGACTATCTGACGAAGCTCATTGTAGTGCTCCACATTTTCTACTACACGATCATCGTATCCACCAGCGATGATCAAGCGACAACGCTTCGAATCCGGAGCTGACAAGGCGTCAATCAACAAACGAAAGGAATGCAAAGCTAAAGCATGATTCTTCTTTCGTTCATATCGATTAATATCCAGAAAGATGAATGCATTACGCGGTATTTCTTCACATGCTTTCACTCCGAATTCCATGCTTGGCATAGCTGCTATCTTCTTTTGCATTGCATCGAAGTATTGAGTATTTAGAGATGGATATAATACGTCGGGTACCACATCTAAACGTTGGAATGTGTCACCGAAAACTCGTAAGGTGAATTTGGAATTAACCAACGTCACATCCGCCATGCCGACGGTAAATTCTTCAAGATAATTTAATGGCGCCCGGTAAACACTTTTAAGGTAGCCTTCTCGAATGCTCAATAACTGGTCAGGAAAGTGGCAGTAGAAAATTATTTTTGGTCGTCTCTTAGCAAGTTTCAATATGGGCACGCCAACAGAGATTTGATCACAGAAGAAAACATCAATATTTTCACGGTGCGACAGCACGAAAGAAGCATATAGGGCAGCATACATCATGCGTAAGTAGGCACATAGTGCATAGAATCGGCCAAAAATCTTACGTGGCAACCAATCGCCAACGACTTGCACCTGCAAAGTGCCATCAGAAGTTTCTTTAAAACAGTGCGTTGGGTCATGATGATTAGTCAAGAAACTGACTTCATGTCCTCGTGCTTTCAACGCGAGAGCTGCGTCCACAACTAGCCGCTCTGCGCCACCAATCCCCAGATCGGGATGAAGAAAGAGAATACGTACCATTCGTGCGCTTGCTTTGTTTTAAATCAGACAAACGATTACAAGTTGAATAATATAATCTCAATTTTAGACCAGGTTTAATACTTACTAAGTACTTTACTGTCATTCAACAGCTTTAAAAATCTTCATTTGCTCAAAACAACTGAGTCAACAATTTACATTTGCTTCCCCGCAAAATAATAAACAGCTGTATCAATAGAACTGCAAAGTACTCGATAGCGCTATCGATACTATCGACCACAGTATACTACACCACAGTATACTGTGCTATCGACAGCCATTTTTTTAGACGCTATTGATTATCTTTTGGTATTGCCGATTATCACACAAATTAAAATTGATTTATGAAACTAAAAATTCGAAAATTGAAATAATGGGTAGGTTCAGAAGGCGGAGAAGTTGAGCGCAACCGTTGCTAAAAAATCAGTGATCATAATGCGCCTTCTGAACGGCTCGATACAGTAGCTGTCAAATTCAAAACACACAACATGTCTCAAATGATCATACAAATATTACGATTATCTAAAAAATTTGTTTTACCAATCTTGACTACATTGCAACACTATTGCACAAAAGCAAAAAAATTAATACGTATATTATAATAACGTTTAAAGAAAACTAACTCGTTCAGAAAGAATCCTTAATGTAAATTGGGTTAAAGCCAAGAATGGGTTAAAGCGACATCCTAGCTCAGATTCTCAATATTTCTGTCTCATCTGGCATCTCTTAGGAAATGTCATTTTGCAACGAATGTTTGACATATCTGGGTTTCGCAGCTTTTCATTTGTTTGACAAATCTCTATAAATTACCTGAGGTGCACGTGTTATTTCGGAGCATTAATTTTTTACCGCTTTCAATTGTGAAGTATTAAAAATGGTTAAATTACAAAAATCACTAACTAAACCAGTCGATTTAGTTGAGAAGAAGAAAAAGAAGGTTATAGCTCCACCGCTTGCCGGTATATCAAAAATAAGCAAAAAAGATAAGCCAAAGCATTCAGTTAAGAACTTGCCGAAGGCCAAAAAGGAAAAGCTACTGAAGACTGTAGTCGACGATCTCGGAGTTGTAGCCCCTATAAAGAAGGAAAAGAAAGAAAAATTCAATAAAGACAAAAAGAAAGCTTCAACTGAACACACAGGTGTGAAGCCGTTAAAAGATTCAAAGAAAAAAGAGAAGGCTAAGAAACGCCCCCTAGTTCTAGCGCCACCTGAATCGCCAGCGGCCACCAAGTCTGCAGCGGCTTTCCCGCAAGAAAAACCCCAAAAGAAGAAGGCTAAGGGACAGAAGAAAAATGCTAACAAAATAGCCAAACCTGTTAAAGAGCAAACAACTCCGTTGACAAGTTTAGAGAAGAAAAAATCCGCTAAACGGGCATTCAGAAAGGAGCAACTAAAAAAGAGGCGCGAAAACAAATTAAATAAAACAAAAAAATCGCACCCAAAACGGCTATTTAAGGCGCCGCCATTCGATGAAAGCAAATTCAATGCCATTGTTAACGCGGATAACATAAAGAAAATAGCGAAGGGTTTGAAAGAGCAGGTCAAGAAGGAAGTGGCTGAAAAGAAAACCGCTATATTTAGTGATTTTCAATACTTCTTAAACGTGGCTGCCTTTAAGATTCCTAATGTCCCTAAACGCATGGTGAAGCTGTAAGTATTAGACAAGGAAGAATTATTTTTATTTATTTTATTTTTCTTCCGTAAAGAAACCTGAAGCATTCTTTGGTGGATAAGGACGATGATGTTGCCATAATAGTATCTGATGTACAACGTGGTGCTAAAGTCGACTATGAGCCCACCATACAACATTATGAGGATATTTTCCGTGAGGCCGGCATTGAAGGACTGACGATTGTACCATTCAACAAACTAAGGAATGAATGTAACACTTTTGAAACTGTACGAAAATTTGGAAATACCTACGATTATTTCCTTTGTGACGGCCGGTTGGTAGGACATGCATCGGGTTTTTGTGGCAAGGTAAAGTAGACTTGTATAACTTCGATTTATTAAACTCTAATAGGTAT